ATATATATATATATATATATATATATATATATATATATATATATATATATATATATTCAAAATTCATAGAAGAATTTCAGAAGAAAATTATTTAAATTACAGATATTCCAATATACGCATATTTTTTTCTTCTGTTCAATCATGCCAAATTCTTGGAGACTAACTAGCAGCTTTCTTGACTACTATACAGAAATAAGATCTAAAGGGGATTGTGAACAGTTTTAAATATAAGTTATGACATAATCATTCACCTGATAAAATTATTCATTCTGAATGTTGCTTTAGTAATAGATCTAATAGTCATGTTTATTTACTTTCTAGTCACACCCTGCTTGCCCTGGTCCCGACTTTACGTGGCATCGCTTCAATATTAGTGGTAATAGTCCACTAATTCAACATTACTTCCAGAAACGTGGTATTGAATCAAAATCAGGATGTGACATCTTTCTTTCTAGGAGAGAGATAGACAAATCAATGCCATATCCTTATGATGTTCAGAAGGGAAGTATTAATGGAAAATTCTTAAGACTGAGCTTCTTGGCTCACTATTATAATTTTTTCCAGTATAATATTTAAGAAATGCATTGTTTAATTTACATATAAATGTCTATGTCATTTTGGGAACCCATTACATTTTTGTGTGGTTTGCTTAAGTAAAAAATTCTAAGTAGAAATTTCCTTTACACTTAAATTCACTGATTCTGCCAAAACATATGCAGAACTGATCAAGGAAGGTTTTCATACCGTCCATCAGAAGCACAAAGCCTTCAGAAAATATTATTGGCAGCAATACAAAGAAATGAGGAAATTTGATGAACAGAACAAATGTAATCAGGAACTTTACAGGTATCCAAAAATGTATATTGAAACTATGTAATTTTATCATATAATGTCCACATTTTAAAACTGTTTCTGGATGTCAATGCTTTGTAACAGCAACATTATTTTCTCCCTCTACACTTTCAATTTTTGTTTCATACCATCTTGTGTGATTATCTTACCTATTGTGTTTCCCTGAAAATAAGACCGGGTCTTATTTTCTTTTGACCCCCGAAAAAAATGGGTAGGGCTTCTTTTTGGGGAGGTCTTAATTTCTCTCCCCCCATGTACTGGTTGGAGATGGGGTGGGTGGGACAAGTGGCCCCTTGCACCAGCTTACTGAAGGGTCGCAGCAGGCCATCCCACAATCTACAAAACAGCTGCTTTGCGGGCGCCGCTCAGTCCACTTTTGCAGCCGCATTTTGCGGCCGCAAAAGCAGCAGGAGGCCAAGCAGTGCGTCCCTTGCACCCTCCTTACCTAACAGTGTGATGGTCGCAGCAGGCCATCCCACCATCCATGAAAGAGCTGCTTTGTGGGTGCTACTCAGGCCGCTGCCTCTAGCAACATGGCCACTTTTGCAGCTGCAAAAGCAGCAGGAGGCCAATCGAAGCACCCCACGTGTCACTTGGCCTCCTTGTTGCTTGCCATGCAGACAACAGGAGGTGAGGAGGTCAAGGCTGAAGCGGGGGGGGGGAAGGGGGGAAGAACTTGCCCCACGCGCCCCCCACACCCTTACCTAATGGTAGCACCTACCATCCATGCAGAACATGTAATCATAACCTAGGTTTCTTCTCAGCTTTAAAATTCAAATAATTCCTCTTCTGCTACCTTATGCTCAAGTTAATTTCAATGTTTCTCTTGTATTGTTCTGCAGAGAAGCTATAAAAGAAGAGATGAAAAAGAGAAAGGCACAAAAGCAAAAAGAAATGCTTTCTTTCAGGGAACGGCAGAATAGCTCAGAACCTTCATCCCTGTTTTCAAGAGATTCATCCGGGAAACGCCATAGTTAACCTAGATCTCTCCTTTTGAACTGACATTGGTTGAATTCAGTGGAAGCATGTTACAGGATGACAATTTAAATAAAATTAAAGAACCTAACTTTGGTACTAAATGTAAACGTATTGCTAATTAGAAATAAATGAGTGGTACTACATTAAGGGGGAAGAATATGATTATGTTTTGGGAATGTTACTGGATATAATTTCTTTTATTACTTTTAAATATGATATGTATAATTCTTTCCCATTACGTTTGATTTTATTGTTATATCGGTTTCATTCTTGTCCAGTTTAAAAATATACTTACCCTAAATTGGATTATCTGCAGCTTTAGGCAATACTTCTTTTCTTTAGAGTTATATCTAAGTTTGGAATGTTTAATTTGTTAACTGAACTCTACATTTTAGCTCCTAGTGAAACTAATGTGCAAGGTGTTATTTTTCTTTGTTCTTCCATATTAGCCCCAGTAAATGAAGTTTAAAAGAGCATCTCTTTTTAAAGATTATTTCCAAATATTAAAAATTGTATTATAGCAGTATATCTATAATAATTTGTAATTATGTTCTAATTTAATTATATTGTAATTAAATCATGACAACAATAGATATGGATTATAAATATATATAATTAAGAGAAATTATTTCTATTCTATTTGTCAGAATATAATATTTTATTAGATTCTGAGGACTACCTTTCCAGGAGGATATTCCTAAACTGGAGCATGTACAGAGGAGAGCAACCAAGATAATTAGTGGCCTAGAAGTTTACATTTGTGAGGGAAAACTGGGGAGACATGATAGGTCTCCTCAAGTGTCTGAAGGGCTGCAATTCTGTCCAGCAGAATTGATTAAGTTGTTCCTGAAGATATGCCAAGAAAAATTGAGCTTAAAGAAGGTAGATTTTAGTTGCTCACAAGGTTTAAACAAATCCTAATAGTAAAAGCTGTTCTGTTCTGCTCTTAATTGTTAGGAAGCTTTTCCTTAAATCAGTTATTCTGTGTCCTTTGGAATGGTATGTCAGTATTTCCCAATCATGGCAATTTACTGTGGAATTCTGGGAGTTGAAGTCCACACATAGTAAAATGGTGAAATTAAAAAACAAACAAACACGCTGTCTGAGAAGCGAATTTCTTTTTCCCCAGCTGTAAATTTTGCCTCCAAAGTCTATGTCTGAGCTACAGGCCAATCTGGTTCAACGGGTTAAATTCAGCTGCATATCAAGCAAGGCCTGAGCAGCATTTTGAAGGGAAATCGGCATCTCTGTCCCTAAGGCTGCAGATTATTCCCCACCCCCCAGGTTTTCTCTCCCAATCCAATTTACTTCCAAAATTACTAAAATGTTACTAACAAGTTGGCATGAAAGTGACATGAGGAGAGAACTGAGAGGAAATAAACGTCATGGCTCATGGGCCTAATTTACCTCAGAGCCTAGCTTTACCCATCTCATTTGCCTCATAGCAGAATGTCTGGTGAGGAAGCAATAGAGGTGTGAGGAGGGGGAACCTGGCATGCCATTCTGAGCTCCTTTGTGATTAAAAAAAATGTAACTTTTAAACGGAAGCTAAAGGAAGGCGCCCTTTGTGAGCTTTACACTTCCAACTTTAATTCTGAGGCAAGACCCTCCAATAAGAGTTGGCATCCATAGAGAAAATCTGTATTAAAATGTGTTCTAGAAGGATGAGGATCACATATAACTTTTATACCAGGGTGTTGTTTTTTTCAGTTGCACTTTAAACAATATATTATTTCTATATTTATTAGGTTTTATTAATTTATTGCAGATTTAGACAGAAAAATGTAGCCTATGATGGAAATGAACAACATTTTTATGTGTATATGATATACAATTATATAATAGATATATTGCATTATTATCTATGTATATACCAGTGGTGGGTTTCAAAATTTTTTGGAACCTCTTCTGTAGGTGTGGCCTGCTTTCCAGGTCCACTGGTGGAACCTCTTCTAACCGGTTCGGTAGATTTGACGAATTCAATTCAATTCAATTCAATTTATTAGATTTATTAGATTTATAAATATGAGCATGATAGTGTAGAATAATCATATCCAAGGACGAGTGGTAGATTTCAAAAATTTTTGAAA